GGGTTATAGGCATGCCCCACCATGCTTCTTGTTTGTTTGTTTTTCTTTTTAGACCGAGTCTCACTCTGTTGCTCAGGCTGGAGTGCAGTGGTGAGATCTCAGCTCACTGTAACCTATACCTCTCGGGTTCAAGCGATTCTCCTGCCTCAGCCTCCCGAGTAGCTGAGACTACAGGCACCTGCCACCATGCCCTGTTAATTTTTATATTTTTAGCAGAGACGTGGTTTCACCATGTGGCCAGGATGGTCTTGATGTCTTGATGTCTTGACCTCGAGATCCGCCCTCCTCAGCCTCCCAAAGTGTGGAGATCATAGGCATGAGCCACTGAGCCCAGCTGTGCACCACCATGCTTAGTGGAAATAATCTTGATGTCTAATAAATGGAATGGAATAATTAAATGATACTGCACATCCACACAGTAAGATATCTCATAGCCATAGAAAAAGAATTTGTAGAAATGAATTTAATGGAAAAATTTTCTAGATAGTTAACTTATTAACTCTGTGGTCTATGGCAAATTACTTAACTCCTTTGCCTTAGTCTCCTTATCATTAAATGGGATACTAATATTGCCTTCTTTATAGTGTTATCATGAGATTTAAATGAGTTGTTACAGGTAAAAACATTTGGGATAGTACCTGGCCTAGAGTAAACATTAGATAAATATAAGTTGTAATTATTATAAGAAAAGCTTTAAAATAATATGCTATTTAAAAAAAAACACAACTAAATAAATAAATAGAAAAAAATAATATGCTATTTAAAACATAATATGCTATTTTTTCTAATATGCATACATAGATATAATGGTATGAAAGTAAATACTTCAAAACGTTAACAAGTAGCTCACACTTGTAATCCCAGCACTTTGGGAGGTCAAGGAGGGTGGATCACTTGAGGTCAGGAGTTTGAGACCAGCCTGGACAACATGTCAAAACCCTGTCTCCACCAAAATATACAAAAATTAGCTGGGCATGGTGGTACACGTCTGTAGTCCCAGCTACTTGGGAGGCTGAAGTGGAAGAATCACCTGGGCCCAGTGGGTTGAGGTTGTAGTGAGCCAAGATGTTGCCACTGCGCTCCAACCTGGGTAACCGAGTAAGATTCCATCTCAAACAACAACAAACACACACACAAACATAAAGCGAAAACAAAACAGAAAAAGAGTATTTCTTTAGTAGGGGAGTAAGGATGTCTGGGATTTTCCACGCTGCCTGTGCCATGCTTTTTAGCCCCTGTGGCCAGTATATGAGTGTGAAGGAGGAGTCAGCTTTCTCCATCTATTTTGAAAGGTGATCTCCTCTCTTATCAAATGGGAAAGGATCCCCAGGATGCTCATAGGCAATGAATGAGTTTCTTTTTTTATTTTTTTTCTTTTTTTGAGAGGGAGTCTCCCTCTGTTACCCGGGCTGGAGTGCAATGATCTCGGCTCACTGCAACTTCCACCTCCCAGATTCAAGTGATTCTCCTGCCTCAGCCTCCCTGGTAGCTGGAATTACAGGCACCTGTGCTATATTTTTTGTATTTTTAATAGAGACAGAGTTTCACTATGTTGGCCAGGCTGGTCTCAGACTCCTGACCTTGTGATCCCCCCACCTCAGCCTCCCAAAGTGCTGGGATTACAGGCGTGAGCCACTGCGCCCAGCCGACACTTTCCTAACAGATCAGATGTGGGGCCCAAAAATATAGAACCAACATTGAACTCTAGAGGCAGACAGGATGTGAGTCATCACACTGGCCTTTTGTCAAGTTGAGTATAATTGTTTCTGTGTTTTTCTTTGGCAGTATGAATGTGAACTGACCAGACTAATTTAGAAAAACAAACAAATATATCAGAAGATAAACATTTAAATATGTAGTTTCCTTCAAAGTATTTATTTTGAGAAGTGAAACACTTTACTATTGTTCAAATAATCATTGGATTTTTGAGGTGGGTGGGGGAGAAGTCAAACTGATTTCAAAATCAGTTTACATGAAATATTTTACTAGCTCCTGATTTATTAAATTGTAATACCCAGTACTATTTTCAGTATGGTAAAATGGGTATACTTTTTTTTTCACGATGGGATCTTGCTAGGTTGGTCAGGCTGATCTTGAACCCCTGGCCTCAGCTGATCCTCCCACCTCAGCCTTCCAAAATGCTGGGATTATAGCCATGAGCCACCACACCTGGCCCTAAAATAATATTTTTTTCTTTTTCTTCTGAGATGAAGTTTTGCTCTTGTTGCCCCAGGCTGGAGTGTAATGGGGCAATCTCTGCTCACTGCAACCACCGCCTCCTGGGTTCAAGCGATTCTCCTGCCTCAGCCTCCTGAGTAGTCGGGAGTACTAGGCACCCACCACCGCATCCAGCTAATTTTTGTATTTTTAGTAGAGATGAGGTTTTGCCATGTTGGTCAGGCTGGTCTTGAGCTCTGGACCTCAGGTGATCTGCCTGCCTCAGCCTCCCAAAATGCTGGGATTATAAGCATGAGCCACTGTGCCCCGCCACTTATATTTCTTAATAATAAAAATCTTGAAACAACCTAAATGTTCAAAAATGAGAAGCAGTTAAATAAAATTTGGCAAACTCATTTGATGGACTATTATGCAGCCATTAAAATTATTGTTATTGCAACTGAGTATCTCAGCATTAAAATGTATTTTTTTTTCCCCTCCTTTTCTACTTAATCTTTTTTTTTTTCAGACAAAGTTTCACTCTTGTTGCTCAGGTTGGAGTGCAGTGGAATGATCTCAGCTCACTGCAACCTCCACCTCCTGGGTTCAAGTGATTCTCCTGCCTCAGCCTCCTGAGTGGCTAGGATTACAGGCACCTACTACCATGCCTGGCTAATTTTTATATTTTTACTAGAGATGGAGTTTCACCATGTTGGCCAGGCTGGTCTCAAACTCCTGACCCACCCGCAGTGGCCTCCAAAGTGCTGGGATTACAGGCGTGAGCCACTGCACCTGGCCTTCCTTCTTAATCTTAAAATGTAGCCTTGACACCTATTTTAGAATTCTCTTTTCTCCCTTTCCCTCCTGACACTCCACTGCATCATGCACACCTATCTAAGTATATGTTCATTTAGAAATTCCAGGGGCTGTCAGGGTGCAGTGGCTCATGCCTGTAATCCCAGCACTTTGGGAGGCTGAGGTGGTCAGGAGTTCAAGACCAGCCTGACCAACATGGTAAAACCCCATTTCTACTAAAAATACAAAAATTAGCCAGCTGTGGTGGCATGCACCTGTAATCCTAGCTACTCAGGAGGCTAGGGCAGTAGCTGGGATTACAGGCATCTACCACCATGCCCAGCTAATTTTTGTGTTTTTTAGTAGAGACGAGATTTCACCTTGTTGGGCAGGCTGGTCTTGAACTCCTGACCTCAAATGATTATCCTGCCTCAGCCTTCCAAAGTACTAGGATTACAGGCGTGAGCCATTGCACCTGGCTTTTTTTTGTTGTTTGATTAGCCAGGGTCTTGCTCTGTCTCAGAGGCTGGAATGCAGTGGCACAACAATCATGGCTCACCGCAGCCTGGACCTCCTGGGCTCGAGCAATCCTCCCATCTCAGCCTCCTGAGTAGGCACGACTGCAGGGACATGCCACCACATTCAGCTCTTTTTTAAATTTTTTGTAGAGATGAAGTCTCACTCTGTTGCTCAGGCTGGTCTCAACTCCTGGACTCAGGGCTTAAGCCTCTCTAAGTGTGGGGATTACAAGCGTAAGCCACCGCTCCTGACCACTTTCCCTGTTTTTTTCTTTTTCTGCTTTAGAGACGGTCTCCTTCTGTGGCCCAGGCTGGAGTATAGTTGCAGGATGATGGCTCACTGAATTTTTTACCTTCTGGGTTCAAGTGATCCTCCTGCCTCAGCCTCTGGGGTGGCTGGGACTTCAGATGGGTGCCACCATGCCCAGCTAATTTTCATACTTTTTGTAGAGAAGGGGTTTTGCCATGTTGCCGAGACTGGTAATCTTTAAAATTGTTTTGTAGAAACAGAGTCTTGCTATGTTGCCCAGGCTGGTCTTGAACTTCTGAGCTCAAGAGATCCTCCCACCACCTTGGCCTCTCAAAGTTCTGGGATTACAGGCATGAGCCATCATGCCTGACTGTTTCCTCTTTACGGAACTTTTATTCAGCTGTTGCACTAACTCAATTACTCTTCTAATTTTCTTATTTTTTCTCCTATTTTCCATGTTTTTGTCTTTTTGTTCTATTTTCTATGACATTTCCTCAACCATATCTTCTAATATTTCTATTGCACTATGACTGCACATTTCTTTTTTTCATATTTAAGAACTTTTTTCTTCTGAATAATCTTTATTATTGTTTCTTGCTATTGTTCTATATATTCAAGTATCAGTTCTCTTTTTTTTTTTCTTTGAGTATATGCAGTGGTTTTTTTGTTTGTTTGTTTTCTGGGTTTT